GTTCTATTTAGTTTGTAGGGTTTTTTTTTTCTCTATTTCTCATATAATAATAAAAAAATGACCCCGACACCTAACCTACACCCTAACCCCAAGCTAAAATCCTAACCCCTAACCTTATTAAAATATTAATAATAAACACCCTAAAAAAAAAAAAAACAAAATTTATTATTAAAAATATAAAAATTATTATTATTATTATTATTATTAATTTATTATTAATTAATAATTTAATAATAATAAAAATATAAATGTTTTTATTGGGGTGCTTATTATTAATATTATTAAAATGAATAACAATGTATTAAAAATAATAATAATTAATTTTTTTATTGGGGTGCTTATTATTAATATTATTAAAATGAATAACAATGTATTATTAATAATAATAAAATAAAAACAAATAATTAATCATAATAAACACCCTAACAAAAAAAATAAATAATAAAAAAATAATAATAAAAATTATTATTATTAATAAAAATAATAATAATAAAAAAAAAACAAATTATTAATAATCATAATAAACACACTAAAAAAAACATGATGATAATAAAAAATTATTATTAATAAAAATAATAATAATAATAAAACCCTAAAAAAAAAATAAATAAAATATAAATGCTTAATAAGAAGACAATAAAATAATTTTTTTATGTCCGTGATAAAAAAATATTATTATATATAAAAAAGTCCATCCACCATCACAAAGTAATTAAACAGTTTGAGTGCACCCATTTCATTCGGTGGTGGATTTTTTTTTGCACGGTGTTTGATTTATACAAGATTTCAGAACTGTTTAATTACTTTGTGATGGTAAATGGACTTTTATATAATATTTTTTTATCGCGGACATAACTAACAATTTTTTATTTATATTTAGTGCACTCTTTGATTTATTCACTCTTTTTTTTTTTTTTTGGTTAGGAGTGCAGCTTTTGTTCTATTTAGTTTGTGGGGGGGGGGGTTTTCTCTATTTCTCATATTATAATAAAAAAATGAACCACTGACCCTGACACTAACCTACACCCTAACCCCAAGCTCTAATCCTAACCCCTAACCTTATTATTAATATTAATAATAAACACCCTAATAAAAAAAAATCAAACTAATTATTCTTATTATTATTATTATTATTATTATTATTATTATTAATAATAATAATAATAATTTATGTTTTTATTGGGGTGCTTTATTATTATTATTATTAAAATGAATAATAATATATTATTAATAACAATAATAAAAATAAAAACAAATTATTAATAATCATAATAAAACCCGAACAACAAAAACATAATAATAAGAAAAATTATTATATTATTATTATTATTATTATTAATAAAAAAAAATAATAATCACAAAAAAACAAATTATTAATAATCATAATAAACACCCTAACAACAAAAACATAAAAATTTTAATATTTTAATATTTATTTATGTTTTTATTGGGGTGCTTATTATTAATAATATTAAAATGAAATAATAATATATTATTTATAACAACAATAATAATAAAAAAACAAATTATTAATAATCATAATAAACACCCTAACAACAAAAACATAATATATTTTAATAAATTTTTTTTATGTTTTTATTGGGGTGCTTATTATTAATAATATTAAAATGAATAATAATATATTATTAATAACAATAATAATAATAATAATAATAATAAAAACAAATTATTAATAATCATAATAAACACCCTACCCTAACAAAAAAAAAAATAATATATTTTAATATTTATTTATGTTTTTTATTGGGGGCTTATTATTATTAATAATATTAAAATGAATAAAATATATTATTAATAACAATAATAATAATAAAAACAAATTATTAATAATCATAATAAACACCCTAACAACAAAAAACATAATATATTTTAATATTTTTTTATGTTTTTATTGGGGTGCTTATTATTAATAAATATTAAAATGAATAATAATATATTATTAATAAACAATAATAATAATAAAAACAAATTATTAATAATCATAATAAACACCCTAACAACAAAAACATAATATATTTTAATATTTTTTTTTATGTTTTTATTGGGGTGCTTATTATTAATAATATTAAAATGAAATAATAATATATTATTAATAACAATAATAATAATAAAAACAAATTATTAATAATCATAATAAACACCCTAACAACAAAAACATAATATATTTTAATATTTATTTATGTTTTTATTGGGGTGCTTATTATTAATATTAAAATGAATAATAATATATTATTAATAACAATAATAAAAACAAATTATTAATAATCATAATAAACACCCGAACAACAAAAAAAATAATAATAAAAATTATTATTATTTTTATTAATAAAAATAATAATAATAAATAAAAACAAATTATTAATAATCATAATAAACACCCTAACAACAAAAACATTTAAAAATATATTTTAATATTTATTTATGTTTTTATTGGGGTGCTTATTATTAATATTAATAAAATGAATAACAATGTATTATTAATAATAACCGTAACCCCAAGCTCTAATCCTAACCCCTAACCTTGACTCTAACAAAAATAATAATAATAACCATAACAACAATAAATAATAATAATAATAACCAGAATAACAATAAATACTTAATAACGAAAGTGAAATAAAAGCTGATAGAAAAGCTAAAAAAAAAAGCTGAAAACCACCTAGCAACAAATGATGCAAGAGATGATATTTTTCTCAATTGGCTAATAAAAAAATGCCAAAAGCTCAAAAAACACTGCAAAATGGCTGTACAAAAACGTGCAAAACCGAGCGTACAAACGCCCAAAAAAAGCATAAAAACGCGACACTCGGGTGCGACTGCCGCCAAGTGAAGCCAAAACTTTTTTTCTATGAAGGATTGTGGTGATTGGTTTGTCGGGAGGGCGGGGCCGTTTCCACCTACAGAATACAGACCAGTCCATAGAAACAGAAATCTCGGCGCGCCCGGCGGGGGGGCCGTCTACTTACGCCTCCAACAGATCGGTGAATTTCAGAACGCCATCCCTGCACTCCACGCACCCGGCGCACCCGGTGTCACCGCCAACGAAGGTCTGGAAAAGATCGATGAGCCGCATTAATGATTTATTAACAGAGAGACGGACAAAACACAAGAGAGATGTTACGTTCACGTGTTCCGCTTCCCTCCTGGCACCGCTGTGAGCTGCACTGTGCCGCCAGCCAGGTCGGGGCATTCACGGCCACCTTGACCCCCCGGCACCCAGCGTGACCAGGAGGTTGTACAATCAGATTGTATAGCGTACGGTCAGCCCTACACGATGGACTGACCTTCTGAACAAGGACAGCCGCTCAACCTTCTCACCTCCATTCTGGTGCGTTTTTGATGTGTTTTACAGCTCAGATCTGTGCAGGAAAAGTGCAGCCGGTGCGGTGATGTTCATTTGCAAACGACAACGCACAGCAGCGCGCCACAACGTATTTGACTCCAAAAATAGGGTCATGTGCGTTCTTTGGTCTCTCGCGGTCCGTTGTCAACCCTTGCAGAAGGAAGGGGCGACCTTAGGTAGACTAATGGCGGTGGGGGGCCCCTTGGCCCTTGAGAGCCAGAGCCTTTAATTCAGCTGGAACGCAGTTCCGGGCTTCCGGCACTCCCAGCACTGAGGGCCGGTTAACCCCATAGAAACGCAGGCCAGATGCGTTCCGAATGCATTTTGCGCATGTGCGTTTTTGATGCGCTCCAAATGCGCTTTGCGCGTGCGCCTTTTTGATGCGTTCCGAATGCGTTTTGCGCATGCACATTTTTAATGCATTTTGCGCATGTGCGTTTTTGATGCGCTCCGAATGCATTTTGCACATGTGCGTTTTTGATGTGCTCCGAATGCGTTTTGCGCGTGCGCCTTTTTGATGCGTTCCGAATGCGTTTTGCGCATGCACGTTTTTAATGCATTTTGCGCATGTGCGTTTTTGATGCTCTCCGAATGCGTTTTGCGTGTGCGCCTTTTTGATGCGTTCCGAATGCGTTTTGCGCATGCGTGTTTTTGATGCATTCCAAATGAGTTTTGCGCACACGCGTTTTTGATGCGTTCCGAATGCGTTTTGAGCATGTGCATTTTTGACGCGTTCCGAATGCATTTTGCGTATGCGCGGTTTTGATGCGTTCCGAATGCGTTTTGAGTATGCACGTTTTCGAAACATTCCGAATGCATTTTGCGCACGCGCGTTTTTGATGCGTTCCGAATGCGTTTTACGCATGCACGTTTTTGATGCATTCCGAATGCTTTTTGCACATGCGCGTTTTTGATGCGTTCCGAATGTGTTTTGAGCATGCGCGTTTTCGACACGTTCCGAATGCGTTTTGCGCATGCACATTTTTTATGTGTTCCGAATGCGTTTTGTGCATGCGCGTTTTTTGATGCGTTCCGAATGCGTTTTGCGCATGACCATTTTTGATGCGTTCCAAATGTGTTTTGCGCATGCGCGTTTTTTTAATGCATCACAGTTCTTTTCCCCCCCTCTCTTTTTCTTCAATTTAAATAGGAAAATGTGCGTTTTTGGCGCGTTCCAGTGCGTTTTGGTGCGCTTTTGATGCATTTTTTTACCGCGTTCCAGTAAAGTTCTGTGCAGGAAAAATGCCGCCAGTTCTATTTTTTTTCTGCATCCGGAACGCACTGCAAGCGCTGATGTGAACTATGACACCGACCACCATATCACTGACTTTCTGTGCGTTTTGGATGCAGAAAAAAGGAACTGAAACGCGTGTCGTGTGAACTGGCCCTACATGTGCGTTTTTTTTTCCCCCGTGTTTTGCGCACTGCACACATGGGGGCGGTCCATTCATGTGAATTGGCTGCCTTACGCGTGACTGATGCGCCAAAGAAGAACCTACATTTTTTTGGGAGGGGTGAAGCTTTGCACATTTTGACACGTGTGACATGCGCTTTCTGCTCGCTCTTGCACATGCTCAGATGTGAATGGAGCCTTTGGCACACATGGCGCATCTCCAGCCAACAGTGACATTTCGGTTATGGGCGGAGTCTAGTGTGCCAGCTGCCCTTTTCCTGTCTCAGGGGTGTCAGTGGTGGTCAGTTCCCCCTGTAGTTCCCCTTTCCCAGGCTCTGGTGTCACTTCTCAGTGATGGGGTCGGCAGGTAGTCTCACTTCTCCTGCTGCACAGTTTCTATAAATACACTCCCTGGTGCAGCCTCCGGGGCCTCCGCTGGCAGTAAAAGGGAAAATCTGTATTTGGATCGGATTCCAGCAGTTCATTGGTTGGATTCTTGTCATGTGTGACACCCAGGGGTCTCCTCACAGGGGGCTAAGACTGTCTTATGAAACATGTCTGGAGTCTCTGACCATCTCCTGTAGCATGTCTGCAGTCTCTGACCGTCTCCTGTACTGTGTCCGCAGTCTCTGGTCATCTCCTGTACTATGTCCGCAGTCTCTGGTCATCCCTGTAATGTCCGCAGTCTCTGGTCATCTCCTATACTATGTCCGCAGTCTCTGGTCATCTCCTGTACTGTGTCCGCAGTCTCTGGTCATCTCCTGTACTGTGTCCGCAGTCTCTGGTCATCTCCTGTACTATGTCCGCAGTCTCTGGTCATCCCTGTACTATGTCCGCAGTCTCTGGTCATCTCCTGTACTATGTCCGCAGTCTCTGGTCATCTCCTGTACTATGTCCGCAGTCTCTGGTCATCTCCTGTACTATGTCCGCAGTCTCTGGTCATCCCTGTACTGTGTCCGCAGTCTCTGGTCATCTCCTGTACTATGTCCGCAGTCTCTGGTCATCCCCTGTACTGTGTCTGCAGTCTCTGACCATCTCCTGCAATATGTCCGCAGTCTCTGGCCATCCCCTGTATCATGTCTGCAGTCTCTGACCATCTCCTGTATCATGTCTGCAGTCTCTGACCATCTCCTGTATCATGTCCGCAGTCTCTGACCATCTCCTGCAATATGTCCGCAGTCTCTGACCATCTCCTGCAATATGTCCGCAGTCTCTGGCCATCTCCTGTACTATGTCTGCAGTCTCTGGCCATCTCCTGTATCATGTCTGCAGTCTCTGACCATCTCCTGTATCGTGTCTGCAGTCTCTGACCGTCTCCTGTACCGTGTCTGCAGTCTCTGACCGTCTCCTGTACCGTGTCTGCAGTCTCTGACCGTCTCCTGTACCGTGTCTGCAGTCTCTGACCGTCTCCTGTACCGTGTCTGCAGTCTCTGACCATCTCGTGTACCGTGTCTGCAGTCTCTGACCGTCTCCTGTATCTCAGTCTCTCATTGTTTAGGACAGATCAGGGAACAGTTCCATTCAGTTCTGTTCTCAGTCTGCGGCCGATATCGGCAATCTTGTCACTTCCTGTTCTGGAGACGCCGTGGGAAGTGAGAAGTCTCTGCAGAATGCGGGGAAGTCGCTCTCCGGGATCACACTACATGAGGTGCTGCTGCTGTGTGCAGTCGGATCATTCACACCGATTTATTGTTCTCCGTTTTTATTTTATGACCACGAGGAGTATTACATGGAATTGGTTTAGACAATAGAACTCCACCGCTCAATCCTCCGTCACTGCGGGGTTTACTCAAAACAAAACATTGCATCGCTGTGTGTTCATAGATCCCTCCCAGCAACAACAGATCCCTCCCATAAATAATAGATCCCTCCCAGCAACAACAGATCCCCAGCAACAATAGGTCCTTCCCAGAAACAATAGTAAGAAACAATAGATCCCTCTGAGAAACAACAGATCACCCTCAGCAACCGCAGATCCCTCCCAGCAACAACAGATCCCTGCCAGCAACAACAGATCCCTGCCAGCAACAACAGATCCTTCCCAGCAACAACAGATCCCTCCCAGCAACAATACATCCCTCCCAGCAACAATACATCCCTCCCAGCAACAACAGATCCCTGCCAGCAACAACAGATCCTTCCCAGCAACAACAGATCCCTGCCAGCAACAACAGATCCCTGCCAGCAACAACAGATCCTTCCCAGCAACAAAAGATCCCTCCCAGCAACAATACATCCCTCCCAGCAACAACAGATCCCTCCCAGCAACAATACATCCCTCCCAGCAAAAATAAATCCCTCTCAGCAACAATTTATCCCTCCCAGCAACAATACATCCCTCCCAGCAACAATACATCCCTCCCAGCAAAAATAAATCCCTCCCAGCAACAACAAATCCCTCCCAGAAATAAGAGATCTCTTCTAGCAACAATAGATCCCTCCCAGCACTAAGGACTCTCCAGTACACTCCACCACATCTTGCCATGACATACATTCTGTGCAGAAACAGCGTCCCCCTGCGTTCCCCCGCATTCCCCCTGCGTCCCGCCGCGTTTCCCCACGTTCCCCCTGCGTCCCGCCCCGTTCCCCCACGTTCCCCCTGCGTCCGGCCGCATTTCCCCACGTTCCCCCTGCATCCCGCCGCGTTCCATGTTCCCCCTGCATCCCACCGCGTTCCCCCATGTTCCCCCTGCGTCCCGCCGCGTTCCCCCTGCGTCCCGCCGCGTTCCCCCACATTCCCCCTGGAAGACAGCCCTGGTTCTAGCAGATCCGAACATGCAACAAAATTGCCTTTGCTCATACATTGGCCAACACTGGATTTCCATACGCCTCCCCCCCCCCCCCCCCCGACCGAAAAGTGATCATTATACAGTATATAAAGCTTTTTCTATAACCAAAACAAAATGCAAAAGTTGAAATTGCAAAAACGGATGTAAAACGCGTCAGAGCCGCATAAACAGGCAAAACTCTGTACAGTGCGCAGTTGATGATGTACGGTGCGCAGGAGATGATGTACGGTGCGGAGGAGATGATGTACGCTGCGGAGGAGATGATGTACAGTGCGCAGGCGATGATGTACGGTGCGGAGGAGATGATGTACGGTGCGCAGGCGATGATGTACGGTGCGGAGGAGATGATGTACGGTGCGGAGGAGATGATGTACGGTGCGCAGGCGATGATGTACGGTGCGCAGGCGATGATGTACGGTGCGCAGGCGATGATGTACGGTGCAGAGGAGATGATGTACGGTGCAGAGGAGATGATGTACGGTGCGCAGGCGATGATGTACGGTGCGGAGGAGATGATGTACGGTGCGCAGGCGATGATGTACGGTGCGCAGGCGATGATGTACAATGCGCAGGAGATGATGTACAATGCGCAGGAGATGATGTACGGTGCGCAGGCGATGATGTACGGTGCGCAGGCGATGATGTACGGTGCGCAGGCGATGATGTACGGTGCGCAGGAGATGATGTACAATGCGCAGGCGATGATGTACGGTGCGCAGGAGATGATGTACGGTGCACAGGCGATGATGTACGGTGCGCAGGCGATGATGTACAATGCACAGGAGATGATGTGCAGGCATTGATGTACGGTGGGCAGGCGATGATGTACGGTGCGCAGGCGATGATGTACGGTGCGCAGGAGATGATGTGCAGGCCATGATGCACGGTGGGCAGGAGATGATGTACGGTGCGCAGGCGATGATGTATGGTGCGCAGGCGATGATGTACGGTGCGCAGGCGATGATGTACAGTGTGAACGCAGGGGTGTCGCTCCTCTATGCAGGTTCAATGTTTCACATTGCAGTGATGATTGCTTCTCTGAATGTAGGGCAAAAAAAAAAGAAATCGCAGAGAACATTGCGCCATGGTGACGAGTCATTATCGCAGTGAATGGCCGCCTTGTTCTGCGCAGAGAGCGCCCCCCCCCCCCCCCCCCTCCTGTGTCCTCTTATCAGTGCAGAGACCATCGCCCCCCCATCCACAGACACTTGACTTCCTCTTTGTACGGCTCGTGGACTTGGACCCGTCCCAATTCTGACACCTTGTAAAAATACACCGCAGCGACTCGCAGGCACAGTGCATGCTGGGAGCGCGGCCATGGGGTCCTGCGAGCATTGCAAGCTCACTCCCGAAGGCACCGGTCACACCGCTGCGATTTGTGTGCAATTTTAGCTATATGACCGCTGTGATTGCGGACAATAGGGTGCGACTTGGCATGCGATTTGCAAGTCACATGGCATGGAAATCGCATGCCAATTCGCATCCAGTGTGACCAGGGTGGGTCGCACGGTGCAACTTCAGTTGTGACAAACAATTTACAAATTGCACCTGAAGTCGCATCAAATGTATTTCTATGGCACGGTCTTGATCACAGCGATCTGAAGTAATGCGATTTCAAAAATAGTTCCTGCATTACTTTAAGTCATCAGTCACAGCGATGCGATTTAAAATCGTGAGATTTATGTGCCATTTCATCGCAATTTCAGGTGCGATTTCTGAAGATTTTAAATTGTTTCTTGCAATTTTCAGTGCGATTTCCACCATATTCTATGCATGTGAAATCGCATCAAAACTGCAGAAAAAGTCATGCGAGAACTACTTTAGAATTCGTCCTGCAGCAAATCGCACGTGTTAAGACGCTGACATTCACATTAATTAGATGCAATTTCAATCCCAAAATCGCACCGTTATGACTGGACACTAACCAGTCACACCAAACCTGACTTTGGAATCATGCGACTTACGGTGAAGTCGCACGATTTTGAAGTCAGATGACATGCCGATTTCAGGTGCGATTTGCAAGACAGCTGACACGGGTCTATGCAAATCGCACCAAAAGCAGCGCATGGACTTCTTCAGAAATTGGTGCGGCTCCGACCGAGTAGGAACCACACCGATGGCTGCTGTAACAGAGTGCGACTTGGCATGCAATTTGCAAGTCGCATGGCATTCAAATCGCATGCTAATTTACATCCATGTGACCAGGATGTACGCCCTGGTTCACACCGGTGCGACTTCAGATGTAACATGCGATTTACAAATGACACCTGAAGTCGCATCTCATGTATTTTTATGGCACGGCCGTAATCAGTGCGATCTGATGTAGTGCGATTTCAAAAGTAGTTCCTGCATTACTTCAAGTCACTGGTCACACCGCTGCGATTTAAAATCTTGCGATTTGTGTGCAATTTCAGGTGCGATTTCTGAAGTTTTCTGACTTTATGCCCCCGGTCGCATCAGGTGCAATTTTGTATGCGATTTGCATGCCAGACGACTTGCAAATTGTATGCCAAGTCGCACCCTATTGTCCGCAGATACAGCGGTCAAATTGGTGCGATTCCGACTTGGTCGGAGTCGCATCGATTTCTAAAGTAGTACATGCGCTACTTTCGTGCGATTTGCATAGATATCTGCATCAGATGTCTTGCAAATCGCACTTGAAATCGGCATCTCCCCCGACTTTGAAATCGTGCGACTTCACTGTAAGTCGCACGATTTCCAAGTCGGACTTGATGTGAACGGGGACTATTGCTACTTGTGAAGATTTTCATTGATTTCTTGCCATTTGCAGTGCGATTTCCATTATATTCTGTGAATGTGAAATTGCAACAAAACTGCAGAAAAAGTCACGCCAGAGCTACTTTAGAAATCGTCCTGCAGCAAATCGCACGGGTTAAGACGCCGACATTCGTGTTCATTAGATGCGATTTCCGGCACGATTTCAAATCACAAAAATCGCACTGCGCACCAACACCCCCGTCACACCAAACCCGACTTTGAAATCGTGTGACTTAGCCCCCCGGTCACATCGGGTGCGATTTGGCATGCGATTTGCATGCCAGGCGGCTTGCAAATCATAGTCCGAGTCGTACCCTATTGTCCGCAATTACAGCGGTTATATTGGTG